AGAAGATTTTGCATTTTCAAACTCCGTTTTTTATTCATAATATTGTAATTGTTCAAAATTATAGGTATAATTGTTACATATTATTTACACATGCTCCATTTTATTTATATGTTCATCAATGTTACTAGATGTTATATTAATTTTGCATATTGCATGTGAATTTAGGTTTTAAGGTAATAAAATCGTATTGTATCATAATGTACATGGAATTTTAATTCAGACTCCATATTAAATATAATAATTTCCGATAAAGTTAATAAACAACTAAACTATTATATGATAGCTATGCTGTGGTAGTACTCAGTTGAGGAATGTTTACTATGAAATTTCGTGTACATCAAATTAGTTTAAAAGTTAGATTAGTTTCTGAAATTAAATGAAGTTTATGTGCACTTCCGTAACGTAAGTAACTATTTTGAAATTGGTTCTGACACACGGAGATGGTATTTTAAAGAAAATGTTTAATTTGAGTTTAAAATGGATATTTAACAAGAGTTAATGATTATACTAGTGATAATATTATTTAATTGAAAATCAATTTTTGAGTTTTGTATCATGCATTTGACTATTATATTAAATATTAAATGTTTAAATAGTTCAGAGTTACTGAAGTTTTTCAATAATTATGTGAATATTTTCTTGCGTAAATTGAAAATGTAATTTATATGTAGGGTAGAGCAGGACACAAAGATCCAATTTGTATTTAGCAATTATATAATGAAAACCAAACCAACTACATTAAAACAAATAACACGCATTAAATAATATATAAACTACAATGTATAAAATTCTCTGCGATTATACATATATATTTTTTGCTATTATTCTAAAATTTATCATTTGGCTCTACTTACTATATTAGACCCCGGGGTAAAAAGTGAAAACCAGGGAGCAAAAAAGTCCACTATTTCATTTTTAACTTAAATAAGGAATTTTTATAAACTTGTTTTTTAATTAAATAAATATTGAATGGATTTTCCATTTTCTTTTTAATCGAATACTTTTTACATTCCAGTGATTTTAGTCAATCATAAATTTCAAGCTTTGATAATGTCATACTTTATAGATCGTTGCAGTTGACCTTTATTTTCTAAATGCCAATCGTTGTAAAACACTGCTTTAATTAAAATTTATATGCGTAACTTTGAAACTATGATATTACGTTATTTTTCGATAAAATATAAAAACTACTCTATAATTTTAACCAGTTAACTGTGGCGCATTTATTGAATTGTCATCAGAATCGAAGTAAATGTTGACAAAAAATCACGAAATATCAAATTGGTGAGGAAGGGTTATTGTATGATTGATGTCACGTGTATTTATTTTTTTAAAGAAGTGAAATTAAAGTGATTTTAAATCAATAAAGAAGTTCAAATATTTTTACAATTTTTTCTCATAACTAAAAATTACTTTATGTTTGGCGGGAAAGGGGGGGTAACTTTGAATGACACACGTATCACCAAGAGGGAGGGGGGATCCACAAATCCTTAAAAAATCGATCACATGATTATTGGACGCGCCCTTAAAATACTCGAAATATCTACTAATTTGAGAATGTGATTTGTTTTTCTTTTCAAAAAGTACAATTTAAACAGTCAATGGTTAAAGATTTATACACATGACGAATATACTCGTCTACACACAAAATTCTATAACTTATTCAGTATATTCATCAATCAAAGTTAACTAACTAGCTTATCTTTACTGATTCTTTTACTTTCATTTCGGAGATTTTTTACTGAAAATAGTTCTGCCAATATTAATCAAATGCTTGTAATTTGGCAATTATGGTTATACCTAAAGTTTTATCAAATTCTTATGTGAAATCTAGTTATGCTACTGGAAGTTGATAAAATTATTAATGCAAATATGTACTTACTTAAATATATTTACTTCTTGACGAAGAATATAATTAACGCAGTTTAGTAATATTTTTTTATTGTTGTACAAAGTTTAGATTGCTTCTGTCAGACTTGGCTTGTATGAAAAAGCATATTCTTAATATAAAATATAGTTATTATAATATTAGTTTTTGCAATATAATCAATGGCTTACATTGACAATGTTTTATTTATTTTCACATGTATATGTATCTACTTGGAATTTAGCTATTGAAAAATTGTTAGATCACGTACATATGCCATAAGCTTCAGGTGCAATCTTCTTGGCTTTTCCGGACACATCTTGCTACTTTTCTTTTGAATTCCGTGTAAGATTCCCGCCATTCTTTTGCTGCATCCACATTGGCCGGACTTTCATCATTCGGATCAGCCAACATAGAAATCACTGAGATTAAAATAGTTTCGACCGTGTGCACAGGTAACCAGCGTTCTGATGCTTTTTCATATCCCCATTTATCGTCACCAGGTTCGTGGAGAATCGATATGCATACATCACCGTTTTTTTCGATATTAGGATGCCAGATCTCGGTCACAAATCTCATTTCGGCGGTCTCAACGGGTATTCTTTAGGGAAATCTAAATGAGCTTTGAAAAATCCACCTTCATACAACGTTTCTGGAGGTCCGATGATGAGAACTTCCCATTTGTAAATATCATTATCATCAACTAGGCCCGCCGAGAATCCTTCGACTGGGTTTTTGCTCAACTCTGCTAATTGCTTCTTTAGTAACAACGATGACTGTGCTTCGGACATTTAATTTAGTAATATAGTTTGAACACTGTGGCACGAAATTGTGTTAAATATTCTATAAAATTAAACGGTTTGTTAACTGAACCTACTGAGTGATGCCAATGTAAATAAAAATATTACTGACATCTGACATAAACAATCTAAATTTAATTTGACAACGGTTGGTAAAACAAAAGGCAAACACTTAAGTGCATTTTTGTAAAATAGAATGTGAATATTATATACTAGAACTATGCTATTAGTACAATATCATTCTTGTGAAAAGTTGTTTTTATCACTTCTCGATATGGTAAGTTACTGCCGCAAAAATTTTGCTCTTTGCTATATATGAAGTAAAAAATTATTTTTGGTTAGCTCCTTATTATCTAAATTGCAGTTTTTGTAATTTCGTTAAAGCGTAATTATTTTCTCACGTGATTTTAAATCTCCAAAATGGATAAAGACCTTATCTCAAGGATAGTTTCGACAATGTCATGTAGAAGTTGGAAAACACATTTTGATCCATTAATCAAGAGAATATATTCAATAATCATTATGGATACTATGTTTTTTTAACTTCCCGTAGGGTAGTTATTGTAATGGGCCGAAAATCGAAATTGAAAATTTTTACATTTTTCGACGTTTTGAAGGTTTCTGAACATTTTGGCATACCTCAAAAAAATGGATGTGTGTGTGTGTATGTATGTATGGATACAAATTTCTAGTCACGTTTTTGGCGCACGGATCAACCGATTTGAATGGTTCAAAAAACATTTGATTCCTATTGATAGGTAGAAGAGCTGATTAGTTTTTGGCAAAGGCAGGTCCAGCCGTTTCGAAGATACGGAGCAAAAAGTGCAGAAAATAGAAATCGACTTTTTGAGAGAACGGAGTATCCGATTTGAATGAACTAAAAAACATTCAATTAGTAATGATTGGGAGAAGTGTTTGTTAGTTTTTGGCAGGCTCAGCCATTTTGAAGATACGAAGCTAAATATGTAAAAAATGGCAGTTTTTGAGAGAACTAAGCGTCCGATTTAAATGATTCAAAGAACTTTCTGCTTGTCTTAGCAAAATAATCGATTTTGGAAAAAAAATTTTGTTTCAACTTATTTTTTTCAAAAAAAATTTTTTTGTATATAGAAATAATTCAGATTTTATTTTTACTTCTGACTATAGTTTTAATATACTTTAAACAAATAATTTCAACTTTGCTTTTCAGTTTATATAATTCTTATAAATATTAGACAATGTTACAATATTAATAATAATCTATTTGAAAACATTCAGTATTCCTCGAACATTTCGTTACGGTACGGGAAGTTCCAGCAATTTGCCTTAAGGCACGATGCCATACACCCCACTAGTTTTATTTACATTTGTGTAAATGGTTTATTAAATAAGGAAAAAAGGCCGAAAGGTCACCCAGTGATCCGATTCGATGTTGGATATGTTTAGCTTATATTATGTATATTATTATTATGTATTCGTTGCAGTTTGTATTACAATCATTGATTTGTCACTAAGTTATAATTAAAGAAGATATATTTATTTATTATTTATTAAACATGTTGCGGGGACTTTACTTTTAGAAGTGGACATTTAGTACCATCAAAACACTCCGCTACCCCCTCTACCAGTGGTAGCAACCATCCCGAGCAAACGCTCAATGCCATGAAGATTGTCACCTTCATGGCCAATATTATAGATGTAGCCCTAATGTGAAAAAAATTAAATACGAATAATTGTACATATTATATGGGATTACCAAAGAATATCAAAGGGGGGCCGTTTTCATCTAAGCCGTTCAATGCCATGGCTTTTTATTTATTAAGTTTTTGGCCATGATGTTTGGTTGGTTCTGTATTCTATGGTTACTATTGTGGGAATTGGCTTTTACTTGGTAAATGACACCTATTTCCGTAAAATATCAAATGGAAATTTAGTCATTCAGGATTCAATATAAAGTCACTTATTCTTGCAAAATAAATTTACAAACAATTGGTTTTTCCTTTATCGCTGAATATTTTAAAATTCTTTAGCAAAGTGAAATAATGCATGTACTATAAATTTTAGTGATGTGTATTATGAATTATTGCTGGTTATAAATTATTTCGGACATTTTCATCAGCGATAAGAAAACTGAATAACGATAATGATTGAATATGATTTTTTATGGTTCTCTTTAATATTCATGTGTGGATTTTGAGTTATTTTTTATGTTTGTACTCTCTAATAAATCAATCGTAATTGTCAGGTTCATAAATCTTTACATAACACTTAGATATAAATTGAAAATGTTTTAGAGCACACTATCTTAAGGGATTTGTAGTTCTTATTAAACCTAAAGGTTTTTCCCAGTGAACCTAAATTAATGCATATTGAATTCTGTGATTCAGTATACTGAATATAAAGTAAATTTTATATTATGTACTACAAATTACACTAACACACTGTTTTTTCCTTCGTTTTCTATTTTCAAATATTATGCGTATATAAAAATATAAACAGTTAGAATTTTTGTTAATTATAACAAGTTAAAAACGTTGTCAAAAAAAAATTGACTAACAATTAGTGAAAAGCAAGTTATAGTTTTAGGTCGTTTAACTCTATATTTTGATTTTTTTTTGGTTAATGGTTGTTAATTATGAAATAACTTGTTTTTCCAATAACAAATAAGTAGAATTTCATATTATATTTATAAAGAATAAAGAAATTTATTTATGTATTTATTTAA